TTGTACCTTCACTCATGTTAACTCTGATCCAGCATCATAGTGACTGTTTATACAGACACTCTAAAGGTTTAATGAGTGGACCCTGTCTACTTCCTCCCCCAGGTCAGTCAGTGTTCGAACCTGTGACTTGGCATTCTCTGCGTACGTGCCCCAGGCATCCTCTAGGACCCTCGAATGGTCACCATTAATGAGCCTCTTCCTGTTCATCCCCAACACTGTGCCCGGTCTTCTTCCTCCCCCAGGTTGTAACTCCCCCCCCCCCCCAAACCAGGTACCTGTAGGGGCGTGGTCTCTTCAGAATTGGGCTTGGCCTCTGTAGAAATAGGTGTGGCCTAATTTTGGGCAGGTAGATGCTCACGCGGCCACAGGTAGTTTACTCCTACCCAGCAATCTCATGTAACATCTCGGTCTCCATACCCCCACATCAACATGAAGAAACAACGCAAATCCCCACCATGAGGGGAGGACAATGAAAAGAGTCCAGAAGCCTCAGTAGGTGCTACTCACCTAAGGGACCTCTTTGAGAAAGAATTCAGATATGAAGTAATGAAGATGTTCAATGAGCTCAGTGAAACAGTGAGACAGATATCTAGTAAATTAAAGGAGGACATGAAAGAAACAATTGAGAAAATATGGGAAGAAATGAGAGCAGAAATTGGAAAGCTATGCACAGAAATGTCACGAATAAAAGATTCTGTCGATGAAATAAAAAACTCAGTGTGTGCCCTCAAGAGTACAATGGCCACAGCTGAAGACAGACTCAGTGAGCTGGAAGATCAGCTGCACGAAGCCTACAGGCAAAAACAAACAATGGCAAGAGACCTCAAATTAGCTCTAGAGCGAATCAGGGTCCTAGGAGATGATTCCAAAAGGAACAACCTTAGAATCATTGGAGTACCAGAAGGCCAGGAAAACAATCCCAGTGAAAAAGCCACAGTAAAACAAGTCATTGCTGAAAAGTTCCCAGAGGGGGACAATGCAGCCATTCAGATTCAAGGAGCCCAAAAGGTGCCAGCTAAAAGAGACCCTAACAAAAACACTCCAAGACATATCATAGTTAGAATGATGGATGCCAGGGATAGAGACACAATACTGCAAGCAGCAAGGTCAAAGAAGGAAATCACATACAAAGGAGCACCCCTTAGATACATAGCAGACCTATCAGAGGAAATCCTCCAAACTTGAAAGCAATGGTGGGATATAGTGAAAAAACTCACTGAAATGAACACTTCACCAAGAATACTCTATCCAGCTAAACTCTCACTCAAACTCGAAGGAACGGTACACTATTTTGTGGATAAACAGCAGCTCAGAAACTTCATAGACTCAAAAAAACTACAGGCTGATATTCATGATGAACACGGATGAGAAGAGTCTCAACAAAATACTATCAAATAGAATTCAACAACTCATCAAAAAGATCATACACCATGACCAAGTGAGGTTCACCCCGGCGATGCAAGGATGGTTTAACATTTGGAAAACAATCAAAATAATCCATCATATCAACAAAAGAAAAGATAAAAACCATATGATCATATCAATAGATGCAGAGAAAACATTTGAAAAGATCCAGCACTCGTTTATGATGAAATCCAGCTAAAAAGGGTATAGAGGGGACTTTCCTCAATATAGTTAAAGTCATCTACCACAAGCCTACAGCAACCATCATCCTCAATGGGGAAAAACTGACAACCTTCTCTCTAAGATCTGGGACGAGACAAGGATGCCCACTCTGTCCGCTGCTGTTCAATATAGTACTGGAAGTACCTGCAATAGCACTTAGGCAAGAAAAAGATATTAAGGGTATTCTGGTAGGAGGGAAGAAATCAAGCTCTCACTATTCACAAATGATATGATACTATACTTAGAGAACCCTAAAACCTCTACCAAGTAACTCTTAGAAACAATAGACTTGTGTAGTAAAGTTGCAGGCTATAAAATCAATACCCAAAAGTCCATGGCTTTCCTATATGCAAATAGTGAGAGAGAAGAAAGTGACATGAAAAGAACAATCCCGTTCACAATTTTGCCCCAGAAAATCAAGTACCCAGGAATCAGCTTAACTAAGAAAGTAAAAGACACGTACAAAGAAAACTACAAAACACTACTTCAGGAAATAAAAGAGGACACGAGGAAATGGAAAGATAGCCCCTGCTCAAAATCGGGAGAATTAACATTGTCAAAATGGCAATACTTCCTAAAGCATTGTACAAATTCAATGCAATCCCTATAAGGATACCCACGACATTCTTCAAAGAAATGGAGCAAACACTCTTGAAATTCATATGGAACAATAAGCCCCCACGAATAGCTAAAGCAATTCTTGGCAAAAAAAAAAAATGGAAGGAATCAACTTCCCTAACTTCAAACTCTACTACAAAGCAGTAATAATTAAAACAGCATGGTACTGGAACAAAGGCAGAGCTGCAGACCAATAGAACAGGGTTGAATATATTCCCCCAAACATATGATCATCTAATATTTGATAAGGGAGCAAGAAATGTGAAGTGGAGCAACTCCCAATTCTTGACTTCATCACCTGTCATTAACATTCTCGTTAGAAGACTTTTTGTAAAACTCATTCCCCCCATACAATTAAAGTTCAGGGCGAAGAGCTGGAGCAACAGTACAGCCGCTTGGACAGTTGCCTTGCATGAGGCAGACATGCATCTTATTTCTGGCACTCCCTATGGTGCCTCAGACCCCACTAGAGCTGATCTGAGGCCAGAGGTAGGAGTACAGCTGGGTGTGGTCCTCCTCACTCTCAGAAGTCCAGATCAGTCCCCAATTAGCAATATATACTTAAGCCAATTAGTTCTCTTTTTTTGTGGCATGTTTGCCCATCTAATTCTTTGGGTAGATCATGCAGTGCATTCCGTTCTCTAATCTTCTGTGTTGCTCACATGGTCTCTTGATTAAACTACCTCCAGTTTCTTACGCATGCATATAACGATCATACCAAAATGCCATGCAAAATGTCTTTTCTTAGTCTTAAATCAAAAGTTAAAGCAACCACATTATGGGCCTAGAATCTTATTTTCCAATAATACAAAAAGATAGCAAAATGACTAATTACTTAATGATATAGAACCAAAGTTTAACCAGACTATCTGGGGAAAAAATTGAATAATAATTTAATATGAAATCTAGTTTCCCCCCAAATGACTTGAGGAATCCTATGTGAAGCCAAATATTACTAAAAAGGCTTTTTGTCTCTTAAAACACTGCTACTAAAGTAGCTCTTGAAACAAAGTGATTTCAGACATGGGATAGTATTATCCAACAAATTGTGCTGGCAAAACTGGACAGCTACATGCAAAAAAAAAAAATGGGCACAGATCTCTGCTGAATACCATGTACAAAAGTAAGATCAAAATGGATTAAAGACCTCAACATCAGACAGGAATCCATAAGGTATACCGAATACAAGGTTGGCAAAACTCTCTACGATACTGAAGCTAATGGTATCTTCAAAGATGACATGCCACTGGCCACGTAAGTGAAAATAGAGATAGACAAATGGGACTATCTTAAACTAAGAAGCTTCTGCACCTCAAAAGAAACAGTGACCAAAATACAAAGACAGTCTACAGAATGGGAAAGGATATTCACCCAATACCCATCTGATAAGAGTTGATATCAAGGATATACAAAGCACTGGTTGAACTCCACAAGAAGAAAACATCAAACCCCATCAAAAAATGGGGTGACAAAATGAATTTCTTCTTTCTCAAAGAAGAAATCCGAATGGCAAAAAGGCACACGAGAAAACGCTCTACATCATTAATCATCAGGGAGATGCAGAGCAAAATAATAATGAGATATCACCTCACATCACATAGACTGGTCCACATCCAAAAGAACAAAATCAACCAGTGTTGGCGTGGATGTGGTGAGAAAGGGACCCTCCTTCACTGCTGGTGGGAAAGCCGACTGGTCAACCTTTTTTGAAAACAGTATGACCGATTGTCAAAAAATTAGAAATTGAGCTCCCGTTTGACCCAGCAATACCACTCTTGGGAATATATCCCGGAGAGGCAAAAAGTATAGTTGAAAAGACATCTGCACTGCATGTTCATTGCTGCACTGTTCACAATAGCCAAATCTGGAAAAAGCCCACGTGCCCGAGAACAGATGACTGGTTAAAGAAACTTTGGTGCATTTACACAATGGAGTAATTAATATGCAGCTGTTAGAAAAGATGAAGTCATGAAATTTACAGACAAGTGGTACTACATGGAAAGTATCATGCTAAGTGAAATGAGTCAGAAATGGAGGGACAGACATAGAAAGATTTCATTCATCTGGGGAATATAAAGTAACAAAACAGGAGACTAACACCCAAGAATAGCCGAGATAAGTTCGAGGAGGTTTACTCCACGGCTCGAAGGCCAGCCGCACATGCAGGGGGAAAAGGCAACTCAGATAGAGAAGGAGCACCAAGTAAAGTGTGTTGGGAGGATCCTCCCAGGATGGGAGATGCATGCTGAAAGTAGACTATAGACTGAACATGATTGCCACTCAATGCCTCTTTTGTAAACCACAGGACCCAAAAGGAGAGAGAGAACAAAACGGAATGCCCTGCCACAGAGGCAAGGTGGGATGAGGGCATCGGGGGGTGGGTGGGTGGGAGTGATACTGGGATTAGTGGTGGTGGAGAATGAGCACTGGTGGAGGGATGGGTACTTGATCATTGTATAACTGAAACCCAAGTACAAAAACTTATAAGACTTCAACTGTACCTCATGGTGTTTCACTAATAAAAATTTAAAAAAAGAAATAAAAGCATAATAAAATAAAAAATATAGGTTTGATAAGTGGATGTGTATAAACGTGAAGAAATGAAAAAAATTGTCACTAGACTTTAGTTTGCTTATTATTTCTCAGCATCTCTTACCTCTGGTTTCTGACTTACTGTAGCCATTCAAGAATTACCAAAGACTGTCTGGGGTGTTATGACTCTCTTAAATAACAGACAAAATGTAATTTTATGAAGATTTAATAATTCAATATCATTGCCAGCTATTCTTATCACTCATGAAATTTAATACGAAATTTGTTAACATTATCTTTAACTTGTTTAAATATTTATAAACATTGCTTTCAAGAGAATTCATATCTTGGGTATTGTTTTCTAGAATTTATTTCAGTATAGTTTCAGCCATTTGGTAGTTCATCTTGCATGATTAGGTCCTGATCGTCTGTGTCTGAGCAGGAACCAGTTTGCATCTTATTTCTGCTGGTGCACCTTTCAGGACCCCAAATTAAAGTATTGTTGAATCACAAGGATCTGGGAACTTTCAGCAAAGCAGTCCTGGTCACAGATCATCATCATCTGAGATGGAATCGAGATAATCTGTATCAACATATAGGAGAAACCCAGAGAATAAACTGTCTGCCCAACCGGGGTCTGAGAAGAGGCCATTTTGGTCCGTGAAGAAGATCTCAAGCCACACCTCATCTTCTGGCTGCAGGTAAATGACTGTGGACCCTGAAGCTACATCATGGTTTCCTGTGTTGGCGTCGAAGGTCTTTATTCGGTACTGCCCGTTGTGGACCAGCCCTATGGCCAAGTGCTTATTTGCCAAAGTGATATCATAAGAAAAGTAATAGATTCCTGGAAAAGCGCAGATGAACTTGCCTGTTGTTGGATTGTAGTGTTCTCCCTCGTTGAAGAGGACCTTGTTAAATACGATCGGTAGCCTTTCCTCCGGGTAGCTGGTCGTGATGCCAACAGAAAAGGCTGATTTGAGCACGATGCTGCCACATCTGCAGACTCCAGGTGGCCCAGGGTCGCCGTGCTCTCCTCTGTCTCCCTTGAGTCCAGGAGCCCCGGTGGGACCCGCCTCTCCTTTCTCTCCCTCTGGCCCTATGGGACCTTTCTTCCCGGTCTCCCCTTGGTCCCCTTTTTCTCCAGCGAGGCCCAGGGGTCCAGTCTTGCCTCTCAAACCTTCAAAGAGAGTTTAGTATTTAATTAATAGTTTCTCTAAATATAGAGTCAAACAGCGTGTCACACAGTCCAAGATACCCCCAAATTTCTCTTCTCCACAAATCTTCAAAGGATATGATTAAATAATAAAAGTTTTTAAAAATAGAGACACTAACATGGAAATAGAAAAATTTCATCTGGATTTCAAGAAAAGTTTGCAGATTATATGGGAAGTCACTAAACTCCCACATAATTAAAAAGCTAGCATTTTGTGATGATTCATCAGTCATAAAATTAGGCATATATAGACGGTGTACACTATAGTAGGAATTCAATGAGTATGATAGTTTTATTCCCCGGAGTGAGGTAAAAGGATTAGAATTACATCAATCTTTGGAGGTTATTTAATCTCATACTTCATTCCATTTATATTAGTATAATTAGAAATAGGAGAATAAAATTATTTTTCAAAATTAGATAAGTTCATATTTGTCAAACATTTATAGTGTGCCATCAACAGTGCTGTATTTATGTGCATTATTTTTATGTGTATGTGTGTATGTGTGTGTGTGTGTGGTGGTAGGAATAGAACTCTTCTAGAGTACAAAATGTTTGTTGAATGAGTAATGTATGAGTAGATGGATGGATGAGTGATGGACAGATGAATATGGGACTAGAACTGGCCTAAATGGTAAAATTGTACCAGTTAGGAACACACTGCATATTCAGAATACATGTCCATATACATATCTTTAAATGGCATTAGAAACCACCGGATGAAGCAGATGACACTTTTATAGTTACTTATATCATTGTTATTCAACCATTTTACACATGTAGAATATCTCTTGTCCTGCACCTGATCCACATATAAGCAGTTACAACCAAGGCAACAGTCTAGTGCTTTTCAACATTTTTATTCCTACAGACTGGCACTGGTGTGTGGACCAGTGGTTGAAGACTTTGGATATTAAAATTTTATATTTGTCCACATTTTTAGATGGCAATGCTATAGGTAATAATAACTTATACAGGGTGCTTCTCACATAGTAGTTATTCTATTGAGTTTTTTATTACAGATGGTCATTCATCTTCACCATCACATTTTCTACCCCAATTTACAAATGAGAAAATGGATTCAGAGAGTTTTGAAGAGTCTTTTTTCCCAAGGATACTAAAATGATTGGAGAAGCCAAGTTTGAGTGTAAATTGTTATGACTCCAACACATGTTTGCATAACCACTACATTATTGCTTCCAGACACAGTAAATGAAAAGGGCTGGTAAGATGTAACTGCGATACTGTGTTATTACAGGATTGAGGGTTTTTATGATCAGACACAGTGTAGGTTGCCACTATTTGTATTTCCATCAAGAAGACTTTGCAAAGTAAATTTAAACTCCAGTTGTTTGTAGATTTGGTAGTTACTGATTTGACAAACATTTTATGACTGATTTAGAAATAAATTACTTTCCAATAATATGAGTGTAGAGAATATTGTTTCAAGGGAGACCAATAACTTGGGAGAATGGCTGCACTGAGCCATGCTTCTTAGATCTATTGATTTTTCCTTCATATTTCATCCTCCAAATCTTACAACCACAAAATTAGTTTTTGGAGATTGATTCCAAATCACTTCCTCTTTTCTAGTTATCACAGCCTCTCTAGAATTTCAATTCAGTTATTCTGAGGATTGTAGAAACTGGCAAGCTTTCTCAGCCCTCCTGTTAATGAAGGAAAAAGTGAAAATTACTGAAGGATGAGGGGACAATTGTGTGCTGTAAAAAGCACTTAGAAATCTACTTTCCAGATGCTATGGGCCAGGTGGAAAAGATGCACTGAAAACCATTGTCATCTCATCTGGGGAAAGTAGCATCCAGAAGAAGCTTTTTCAGGTGTCTGCTGATGGTATGGAAGTAGTGCAGGACAACATCTGTCTTTGTCTCAAAATTTCCTTCTTTATTTTATTTGTAGAGTCTGGCAAACTCCCCGTGGCGTACCCAATATGCCAAATACCAGTAACAATGATGGGTCTCATTCTCCTAAAGAGCCTTGAATATAATCTCAGGGCTAGGATGAAGGAGACATTACTGGGGCCTGCTCGAGGCAATCGACGAATAACAGGATGATCTGTGATCTGTGATCTGTGATTTTATTTGGAGGGATGTCCCGAGAGGTACTCAGGAGACCAGGGGTCCTTCCTAAAAATTCTCAGCCAGCCTGGCTTGAAATTCATTGTAAAGGCTGATTAGGGGCATCCGAGTTTATAGCCAGCATGCTCAGGAGACCATATGGTGCTGGAATTGGAGCAGCATCAGCCACATGCAAGTCCCTGGCACTATCTCTCCATCCCCTTGGCTCCTACTTTCTGCACCTGCTTCATCTGTCCATCTCCCTTTCTGTCCACCTGTCCATCTATTCATCCATCCCTGGCACAGGTAGCCATTGCCTTCTCACCATCACAGCCAGAGGTCATGGGCATTTGGCTTTGCCAGCTACTAGCAGTGACCATGACTAGCATACACCCTTGTTCATTTAGCCACTGAACCACAGGCTGTTCGTCTCTGTCAAGTAAGATCATGTCCACCCATAGCATGATCATTATTGAGTGTAGTAAGAATGAAAGTGAAGAGAGTGAGGAACTGTTAGAGGTACAGTGAACAATAAACACCTGTGATTACTGAAGGTCTTTAACTGCAAAGGGATTTACAGAACGGCTGTCATGGAAATAATGAAAGGTTGTAGATTTAAGGTGGGATTAGAAGAGGAGAGTTTACCAGAATGTCATGGTTCATTACCTTCAGCCCCCTTTTCACCTTTTTCTCCTTTCCTGCCGTCTCTACCATCGCGTCCTGGGAGGCCAATCCGACCATGCGGTCCAGGAGAGCCATTGGCTCCAGGAGGTCCTGGAGGCCCGGGTAAGCCAGGAATGCTGCAGATATACCTGGGGGAGTAGTTCTCCCCTTTGAAATGGTTGTTCCGTGACTGTCCACTTGCATAAATGGCAAAACTTGTAACATAGAGCAAGACGAGCATCTTTGGCTCTGAAAGAGAAACACATCAACATAAACACACCCTCCCAGGTGGGGGATTTAATAGAATTGTACACAAAAACAGGCCTCTGTGACCACCCTCCCTAGCACTCACATGTCTGTGAATCTATAAAAATCCTGTCTACTCTCATAATTCAGGGACGCTAATAGCACACGATTGATAGAGTATTTAGTGCTCCACCTGAAGGTTGTTTGTGATGAAGTCTTCCAAAACATGATTCAAGTCTTCAAAAACATGATAACTAATATCTCTATATGAAGCTAAGTCCCTGAAATTTCACAATATTATTAACCAATGATAGTCAACAGACAAAAAGAAAATTACAAAAATAAAATACTCAAAAATGAATGACTTTGTTGCTTTTTTCTACAAGAATCAGTGGATGACTTTGAAGAAGATTGTTTTCTATTTGCAAAGCAAAGCATTTTTAAAGGACAGGAACAAATAAGATGAACATCAACACTATTTTCAGTTCCCAAGGTAATTACTTTACATTTTGATAAATGCACCTTTCCACTCTATGCCATGGAAAAGTTAATGTCATGTTTTTCCTAAAAATCTTAAAAACTTTTTTTCATTTAACTATGTATCACGAACATCTTTCCATGTCAAAAAGTATTTTTCCAATAAAAAGTTATATTTGTCCTACTATATTTTAGGTATACTATTCCCTATTGGAGCCATATGTTTCCCATTTTCTGCCAATATAAATACCACACTAGATATCTTTATGTCTCATTTTCTCATGTACTCACGATCATTCTTTTTAGCATTTATGGGCTTTTTAAAGCAAGAGAAAGGAAATGGCATTTTAAAGAAAATCATGTTTTTCACTTGATAATCATGTGTTCTGCCAATTAGCGTTAATTGGAGTACTGTGCATGGTCGGGGAGGGGGCTTTCAAGCTTTAATTTAAAATCTGTGGAATATGGGGCTACGGTGTCCCATTAAGCCGTGAGCAGTGGGGCTCAATTAGAGTTGAGTGAAATGAAACCCAGTATAGTGCCACTTACTCAGAGTGAAGCAGGCAAGACCTAATCTGACAGGATTTGAGGTCTTTTTTTTTTTTTTCAATGCAAAGTCCCAACGTCTGAGAATGAGAATTTATTAGTGTGGCATTTAGCGTAGAGACTGAGGGGTGAGCAACCTAGGCAGGGAATATCTGATTTTGCAGATGAACTGGTTTTTAGAATGGGAGAGTGTATGGAGTCTGCTTTCTGTGTCGTTGGATTTATGCTTTAATAATAAATCTGAGTAGCGCTTATATAGATATGCCTGGCACATGTAAACATGTGAAATAATCATATAATGTTGGAAAAAGAAGTTAGATGGAGATTTCCCTACCCTTTTTTTTTTGATGACCACATCAGAAAACTAGCCAGGTATACATTTATGATACCCACGGGGGAAATTATAACACGTTTGAATTAGGCCCAGAAACTTTCCGGAGCATCGGAATGGAAAAATGCTGAAAAAATACTGCACACCTGGTTCAAAATAAGACTTTTTCTAGAAGTATAATTAATGAAAAATTGAAACAATGGATTCAAACATAGGCTATGTATCTTTGACTATATCTCTGTCATGCAAATATTGCCCTCTCCTTTTTCCCAAATCAAGAAAGCATATTTTGCCATGCTCCACCTGCTTGATGTGGTGTAAGAACATAAAGTCAAACTTACTGGTCCTAGTGTAAGGATTGGGATACTTTTTAAAATCCCAATGGATCTGATCAAAGTATCAGTACTATCAAAGGCATGTTGAATGAAAGAAAAATGAAAAGAACATGTGAAAAATGTACATCTAAAAATATAATTTTAGGAAGTTTCAAAACTAAAAAGATTTTCATATATTAGAAGTCACCCATTTAAAATTCTTTGAAGGATTGTATTGAATTATGCAAATATATGTAGAACGTGCACTAACATGTATTTATTCTACCTTTGTGCTCTTGCGGGGTTAGAAGACCAGAGCGTTGAGAAGTATTGTTAGTCTTGCACACATCTGTTCTGGATGCAAATTGTAAATCATTTTTCTATCCCACTTTCCTGTGGGGATTATGGAACATGCTTTTTAATATGCTCTACATAATTACAGTGACACACCTTAGTTTTTAAAATTACTTTATGGTGCTGTGGATTGCAGAGCCTGTACATGAATATATTTTGAATCTATAAAGCAGGAACATGGTGTTTAGAGTTTTGCAGAATTTTCTTTATTCAGAGAACCATTTGTTACTGCTCAATTATCCATGGAAAACACTTGAATGACTATATAAATGCAGAGATTAAATTAGAAAATGTTTCCACTAATTGAGATTCCTACATGAATATCACATTTTTCCCTTTCGCTTATAAGTAAAATGAAGTCATGCGCATTCTGTTAATTAATATTCAACAACGGACCCAAAAATACTCAACAGATCAAGAATGATCTATTTAATAAATGACACTGGGAAAACTGGATATTCATACATAAAATATAAAATTGGATCTTGATTTTACAATAATCAAAAAAATATACCTTGAAATGGTTTGAAGACTTGAATGGAAAATATGAAATCATTAAGCCTCTAGAAGAGAACATAGGGGGAAAAAAATCTCTGTGCCATTAGTCTTGGTGACAATTTTCTTAGGGGAAGGTTTGGGTCACATCCAGTGGTTCTCAGGGTTTACGCCTGGCACTGTGGTCTGAGTGGGTGCTCAGGTAACTAGTGCCAGGGATTCAAACAAAGGTTGGTGGATTTGAGACAGGCACTTTAACTTGTACTATCTTCCTCGTGTAACAGTTTTTTTTTTGAGGGCCCATTGTTTTCATAATGACACCAAAGTATAAGAAAATAAAATAAACTCATGGGAGTATATCAAACCAAGAAGTGTCTGCTTTTTTTACTCAAGGAATATTCAAGAAAATGAAATGGCAAAAACCTAAAAAACAAGAAAAAATATTTACAAACTATGTATTCAACGTGCACTAATATCAAACACATATAAGGAACTCAAGCAACTTATAGCCAAAAACAAAGAGTTCAGTGAAAAATGTCTCTCAAAGATGACACACAACAGGTGTGTGAAAAATGTTCTATAATACTACTCATCAAAACAGGGTAATTCCAAACCAGAGTGAGACAGCATCTCTGACTGCTGCGAAAGCTATTATTGAAAAGACAAGAGGCAAGTGTTAGTGGGATGGAGAGAAAAGGGAGCAAGTTTGCATGAGTGGTGGCAAGGCCCATTTTGTAGTCTCTCTAGAAAATACGAGGCAGGTTCCTAAGGAAATTATGACTAGATTTTGCACCTATTTCAGCCACATCACTGCTGAGCATCTAACTTGGAAAAAGTAACAGCAGGGACTGAAACACATGCAAGTGTTCAGGTCAATGTCTGAGCCCAAAGGCGGAAGCAGCCTAAGTGTCCATCAATAAGTGAATGGGGAAACCAGGCATGGTTGATAATCAGCATATGTTCACTCAGTGAAATATCTCCTGTCCTTAAAGGAAAGACTATTTTGAAACTTAAGATTATTTTATTATTGTTTTATTTTACTCTGGTCTTGCTGGAAATTAAGCAGAGTCTTATACCACATATGTCACTTATGTCAAAGACATCAATTACTTAACTCCCATGTCACTTTGATGATGCAGGGGTTATTCTCTTCACTTTACAAGGCAAATGTTCCACGGTTGAACTATATGGCTCCAGTGCCACTGCAGAGAAAAATTGACAACTGCCATGAAGACTTTATGTCCTGGAAATAAACTAATCACAAAAGGACAAACGTGAGGCCAGAGCAAGCCAGGTTTTGCTTTGCATGCAACTGACCCAGGCTTGATCCCTGGAATCCTATGTGGTCCTCTGAGCACCCCCAAGGAGTGATCTCTGAATGCAGAGCCAAGAATAAAACCTGAGCACTGCTGGGTGTGGCCCCCAAACAAAACAAAATAACAAACAAGAAAAAGCCCAAAACCAAAACCGAAAACCACAAAGGACAACTATTTGATTAGTTTAAATGTCTAAAACACTAATGATATGGGACTGGAGAGATTGTACAATGGTTAGAGCATTTGCCTTGCATCAGCTGACTTGGGTTTGAGCTCCAGCACCTCATATGGTCTCCTGAGCTCCGCCAGGAGGGATCCCAGGGAGCAGAGCCAGGACTAAGCCCTGAGTCCCACCAGGTGTAACCCTCCCCCCCGCCCCACCAAATAAAAATAAAATATGTAGTTAGAGAATAGACTAGTGGTAGCCAAAGAGAAGGAGGGTAACTAACCAATAATCATCAGAATCTATGTTCAATGAATGTAGATTTTCTGTAGGGAAGAAGGAAGAAATCTGAAGTTGGATGGTGGTATGAAAATGCTGGATATTGGGATGCTGGTAAATACTGGTGGCTATTGGAATGGCAAAACATCTTGGGATCTGAGTCCTGTACCACTTATGTCAAAGGCATCAATTACCTAACTCCCACATCACTGTGATGATGCAGGGGCTGTTCTCTTTACCTTACAAAGAAAAACCACTGAGACTCTGGGGTCCTGGGGTGTGGTTCATTGTTGGGGTGCCTGCCCTGCACCCCAACAATGAGGAGCAGATTAGATCTCTGGCACTACCCCACACAGAACCAGGGGAGGAGGCCCTGCTGTTTGGCTCCCTGACATCACAGCCAGGTGTGTGCACAATACAGTTGTGCACACCACAGCTAAAGGTACGAGGAGCCGGGGGCTAAGACTTCCGGTGCTTTCAGCAACAACAAACCACAGAGGAAAGGAGAAAAACTGGAAATTCAAAATAAAGAAAGGAACCTAAACACGGAGCATGGGAGCTCCAGTTCCACAACCAGACAGACGGCGAGAAAGATGTCGAACGAAGTGGTTTTGTCGCCAACACTTGAATTTTCCCCATATCGTATGAGTGAAACTGTAATGTTCACTTCATGACAAAGAGCTGGATTTGATTACAAAATTAAGTTGAAAAATGAGTGTTGCCTGGAA